TTTATATGGAACACTTTATTTTTAGCCAATTTAAATTTTTTAAATTTAAGAGTATGGAAATGGATTCGTTAGATAAATTTCTATCTACTTTTAAAAATCTTAAAGCTCTACCTTAAACTCGTACTCCAATAATACTCAAACTCACAGCAAAATACCAAATTGTACAGAATTTCCACTGGTTACAGCGTATTTGATAGTCGTTCATGCTGCGACTATTGCACTCTTAGCTCTTACACAGATTTCTTTTCAATTTTACATTTTTGTTTTGCTCCACAAATATTATTATTTGTTTTAGTTGTTTGACAGAGCTTTTAGCATTTGTCTGTCTTGTTCAGAAAAAAACCCTCAAACAAAAAAAAAAAAAAAATTTTATGGAAATTGTTTTCTATGCCCAAAATAAAAAAAAAAAAAGAAAGAAAAAAGAGAAAAGAAAAATGAAATGAAATAAAACTCAAATTGAAACTACGAAATTGGCAAAATTGCAGTTGTAACCGAAGCAAAGCGAGGCGAACTTGGGTCTGTTTCCTTTTTGCAACTGTTGTGGAATTTAATTTTCCGCCCACTTGTTTTTCATTTTGCTCTCATTTCTCAATTGTTTCCACTGCATGACAGCGAATATGTTTATGAAGCTTGCCATGCAAATGCTTCCAGCTTGCACAAGATCTATGTTTCCATCTATCTGTATGCTTCAAACGTTACTACTATTACTATTACTACTACTATTACTACTATTATTACAACTACTACTACTTATATATTTACTACTGAGGAAGCAGATGAACATAAAAATAAATACTTTGCCATTTTTGCATGCCTGATTGCCGTTAGAGCGTTAAAACGTAGATGGGAGACGCCGAGGAAGCCGGAGACGTAGACGCAACTGTATACGGTTGGCTGGCTGACTGGCTGGCTGGCTGCCTTGTTCTACCCATTTGCCGGGACTTCCTTTCTGGCCATGCCAAGCCATTCCTGAACTCCTCCCATCCTTGTCGCCTTCCTGTCCTTGCTGCCCAGTCAGCTGTCAGTTGTCTCCGTCAGGACGTCTCCTGCCCAGTCCAGCCCAGCCCCCCTATACCCCCTCATCCACCATGGCACCAGCACCTGACCAGTCTACATCTGTTTTCGTGCGTGCTTTTCTATGTGTGTGTGTGTGTGTGTGTATGTTAACCGTTAACCGTTTGCCGCTTACCGTTTACCGTTGCCCGTTAGATGGTAGCGTTGCCATATCGTTACGTGCCATGTTTTGAGTGCGTTTACATTACGTTACGTAACGTTTAATGAATGTTTATTGCTCCCACCACGCATAGCGTAAGTGTGTGTTCGTGTTGCGTAAGTTACGACCTAATTGCAAATAGATAACTAGACTAACTAGTGCACCCCACTTGTAGAGTCCCCAATGCAACGTATGTAGTCCTAGCAAAAACCAAACCTAATCTAACGTAAATCGCACGCTTTGCATTGACCAGCTCTGTTGCATTTGACTACTCTACCTACTTATTTACCTGACTTACTCTCTTACTTTCTTACTCTCTGTTCCTGTTTCTTTTCTCTAACCGATCTGTGATCTGTGATCTATGCCCCATTTCCTGCTCCCGTTCAGTTCCCGTAGTTGCTTGATCTTTTCAGTTTGAAACCAGCTGTAGCAATTAGTTGTAGTTTAGTTAGAGCAGAGTTGTTCGCTTTATCGATGACTTGTGATCCTTGAACGTGTGTCTTTTGTGGCATATCCTCGTACAGGACACGCTCAAATCAGCGCTGGATGAAACTCCGCACCACCGTACAAATCTCATCGGCCATACAGAAGAAACCACCGCTCAAGCGCGAAGACTCATTCCTGAAGCGTTTCTCAACTAGACAGATACCCGAAACACAGGTGAGATATTTAAAAGAGATTCGAGTCGACTCGCTGATTCATACCCTGCAATTGCCATTCACAGGAAACTGTTGAAGACACGGGTTCAGAAAGTGCCTCTGGTGACGTCGACAAAACGGTGAAGCGTCGACGACGTTATCTGCAGAAACGACGCTCCGTTGTTAATCCAGATGAAAATTTTTACTTCTATTGGTTAATGATGTTAACTATATGTGTTCTCTATAATCTATGGACCCTAATTGTGAGGCAGAGCTTTCCTGAACTGCAGGTAAGTCAGTGAATGCTATGCGACCGGGCCATTAATGTCAAACCTTTTGTGTTGTCCTCCCTTCAATTTTTTTCTTATACCGCTGCCCCTTTTTCTGTTCAACTCGCCTCGCCCCATCGCCATCGGCTTTCCTCTGCCATTGAGGAAAGAGAACACCTTTTGTCATAATGCTTCAAGTTCTGTAAGATGAGTTGACTTGCTGCTTAATAATAATGCCCGACGGCCATAAAATTTCCTCAAACAATGAAGTTTATTAGGTATTTCAGTAAAAGACGAGAAAAGGCAACTCCCACGAGTCCTTGAATTCTTGCTGGGGTCCTTTTAAAAGTGGGCTTAATAACTTAACTAGCTGAAGGCGAGGCAAGCCAAGGTAATATGGCTACATCAGGAAAAAAGAAAAGAATAAAGAAAACATTCCTGTCAGCGCAAAACAACGGCATGAGGGATGCTGATTAGTCTTTGGGTTTGCCCAAATGTAAAGCTTCGCAAGATTTTTATAACTCATCCAGTCAACGTGGCTGAAATATATGAAGTGAATGTATTACTCTTTCCATAAAAAGGTCGATGTGCTTGATCGGAATGGCATGCGTTTAGGGATGGCAATAACAGGGAGTTTATCAGCAAAGAAGTTACTTAGGAACAGTTCAATACTTGGGAGAGTTTATGGGAGAGGGGCAAAATTCTTTCTATATAAACTTTAATGGTTATTTACATCATGACATTAATAAAATAATCGTAGGAAATTCTGGAAACTTTGAAGCATAACTGTAAGTTATGATGCATAAAAAGTGTTATATATGTATGCAGTAGAATCCGGTTATAGCGATCCGGAACCGTCGTTATAGCCGAAAGACGCTTCAACTCTATTAGTCTGCTCATATAAGTTTTTCTGGGGTCCTGAATTTTCGTCGCAATAACCGTATGGATGCTACGGAGTCGTTATAACCGGATTGGACTGTATTTGCAGCATTTTATTTTATTTGATTAACTTTTATTTTATTTCATTTTTGTTTATATTTTTTTAGGAATATAACGGACAAAATTATTCAATTGATAGCAAATATAAATTTTCAATTTTTGTATATCTATATTTTAGGCAATGCCAAAGTAAAAATTTGATTTGAAGTGGTTTAATGAAGGGAATCAAAACTCTATCGATTATGTTTTCTATAGGGTATCTGCAGCCTGTCATAACAAGGACCTTTTTCTTTTGGGCATGTCTTCTTATTTCTTTTCAGTATTTTTATTATTTTCTTCTTTTCTGTGTGTGTGTGTGTATTTTTTTCTTCTGCCTGGCGTTTCGTAATGACTCAATTAAAAGACACGCAGACGGCTCAAGAGAGGTCTGTGTCGGTCTCGGCTCTTTGGTTAGTTAGTGGGCTCTTAGTTTTTTGGGGACCTGTGCAAATGTTTGCTCACGGCCCAGTAGGCTGGGTGTTTGTCATCAGATTAAAGTCGGCTAAGGGTTGCCAAAACAATGTGGAGAGCACATATTCGGAGGACCGTTTAGAGGTACGCCGGGCAGAGGCATCGCCGTGGTTGACCTTTAGGCCGTAATGTGTGACAGGGCCTTTGGTTGTTGCCGTTGTTGCTGTTGTTGTTGTTGCCTCAGTTCTGGCTCTGGCTGCCATGAGGTCGCTCGCTCTTTATTTTAGCCCACCTGCCATTGGCGGGGGCGGGGTGACTTTCGTGTGCATTTGCAATTGTGGAAATGCATTGCTGAAATAACTAAAATTGTCCTTGGCCCGAGTTGTTCTAACTAATTGCAAAAATCTCAACTAATTTGTGCTGAAATTTATTTTTACATTTTACCAATGACAGCAATCTGTGCCTACCTTCTGGCTCATCTGCGATTCACTGACAGATGTTGTATTTATCTTAGATATAATAGTTCAATTACGTACTGGCTATCTGGAGCAGGGCCTAATGGTGAGTGTAGCGCATATGGAATAGAGCCAGTTACTATATATCATATATCATATGTCATATACTATTTATATATTTTATATCGTATGTCCTTCCATTTAGGTATATGATGACAGGAAACTGGCCTGCCACTATGTGCACTCGCGTGAGTTCATCTTCGATATGATTGCGCTGATACCCTTGGATCTGCTACAGTTGAAGATGGGCACGCATCCGCTTTTGCGTTTTACGCGCTTTTTTAAAGTGAGCTCCGAGCTGCCTGCATAGATCGATTCATTATTCATGTACACTCTATTTTCCTCTTGCAGGTATATCGATCTGTGAGATTTTATTACATCGTAGAGAGTAGAACAGTTTGGCCAAATTTATGGCGCGTTGTTAATCTAATTCATATCCTATTAATATTGGCCCATTGGTTCGGTTGTTTCTATTTTTTGCTCTCCGAAGCGGAAGGCTTTCAGGTAAGTGCTCAGCGCATCCAACTGTCTAGCGATCTATTTACTTATATGCTTTATTCCCAGGGCGATTGGGTCTATCCGTATAGGCCAGGTGACTATGCGACGCTGACCCGCAAGTATTTGGGCAGCCTGTATTGGTCCACCCTAACGCTAACTACCATCGGCGATTTGCCCACCCCTGAGACGAATGCAGAGTGAGTATGAGATGCTTATCGATGTTGATCTATTAGCTAAATTTTGGATATCTTTGGGGTGGGCTTTGTCTTGTCTCCCATGCTATAAAAAAATACGAAAAAATGATTAAAAACAAAAAAAAAACAGACCGAACTTTTCGGTGGACGGCCCTCGATCAATACCAAGGCGTGGCATCAAATCACGACTGCTACAGTTTGGCTCTAGCTATGGGTATGAGTTCCTAACTGCATTCATAACACCTAAGTCTAACTGAATATAATCTTTAACATAATCTTGCTTATTGTTGGGGGCTGTCCACCAGTTCGTTTCGTTTTCTGTATTGGCACAAAGTGAACAAGAAAATCCTTGCTGCTCTGACAATTGTTATATGCATCACGATCAAAGCCTTGCCTACTCTATGAATATTTGCTTGATATAATTGCTATCAAAGTTTTCGAAAGCGTGCGACAGCCTTCAACAATTCCAAACAGATTTTAACGCTCACAATTGCCCAAGCCAATTTCAATAACAACTATGCAAAGCTGATTATATATTGAAAATGTGCTTTCGAAAACTTTGACTGAGCTTTTCAATGTCATTCGACGAGAGAGAGTGAAAGAGAGAAAGAGAGACAGAGTTGGAGAGAGAGGAAGAGAGAATCGACCTTTATATGGAAAAAAGTATCGCAGTCCTACATACATTAACTTAATAATTTTCCTGTTGAGAATTTGAAATTAAAATTCTTTTGAAAGCTTTTAAATTCTGAAATTCGAAATTTGGAAAACCAAGAGCTAACTGTGAAAACTGCTTCAGTGACTAAATGATCAAGGTGCACTCACACTCTCAGCTCTGTCTGTCTCGCTCTTGATATGGCCAACACCTGACATAATTTACTTAACTTATCTCCCTTTCCCTTATTTCCCCTCCTTAGGTATATTTTTACGATCGTTAGTTACCTGATTGGCGTTTTTATCTTTGCAACTATTGTGGGCCAAGTGGGTAATGTGATAACGAATCGTAATGCCAATCGGCTAGAGTTCGAGCGTTTACTTGATGGGGCCAAGACCTATATGAGGCATCACAAGGTGAGTGGATCGGAGATGGAGGATGATTGAGCAATTTGATACACTATGGAATTTCGTAGGTGCCGGGCGGGATGAAGCGGAGAGTGCTGCGGTGGTATGACTATAGCTGGTCGCGGGGTCGCATACAGGGTGGGGGTGATATAAATACGGCGTTGGGCCTGCTGCCCGATAAGCTGAAAACCGAATTGGCCTTACACGTCAACCTGAGCGTACTGAAGAAGGTGACCATATTCCAAGAGTGCCAGCCGGAGTTTCTGCACGATCTGGTGCTGAAAATGAAGGCGTACATCTTTACGCCGGGTGATTCGATCTGTCGCAAGGGCGAAGTGGCTCGCGAGATGTTCATCATAGCCGATGGCATCTTGGAGGTGCTCAGTGAAACGGGCAAGGTGCTGACCACCATGAAGGCGGGCGATTTCTTCGGTGAGATCGGCATACTGAATCTGGATGGGCTGAACAAGTGAGTGCACTACCCGAAGTTCTCCCCTCCTTTCCATTCCCTTCCCTTTGTTTCCTTTCCCAATCTCTTATTATAACTCTTAATATGCTCTAGGCGCACAGCGGATGTCCGCTCAGTGGGCTACTCGGAGCTGTTCTCGCTGTCGCGCGAGGACGTGCTCGCCGCCATGAAGGACTATCCGGATGCACAGGAGATCCTGCAGACGCTCGGACGCAAACGCCTCATGGAGGTGCGCTGCGTGAACAAGAAATACGCCAAGGCACAAAGCGACAAGGAAGCCGCCGCCTATGCCGCGGCCCATCCGCATCACCCGCATCCGCACGCGCATCACCATCAGGTGCATCAGAGCGACAGCAGCGAGAACAGTGCCTCGAAGAAGATCGTGGACAAGCTGAAGCACGATGTCAAAGGCTTTCGCAATGTGCTGAAAAAGTCTAGGTAAGTCAGATCCAATAATTGCTGAATCGAATTCGTATTATCCAGCACTCGATTTAGAACGTCCCGTAAGAGCGACGAGTCGCTGGAAATGCAACCGCTGCACAATACCTCACCACGCGGCAGTAAGATCATGCTGAAGCGCATGTCGCGCGTTCGCTCCGACGATAAGGACGCGGACAGCGCCGAGGCCAAGGACGAGCTGCACGACAAGACGCCCAGTCCCATTGGGGCGGGGCTGCCGCTGCTGCAGCGGCTGCGCCTGCTCAAAGAGAAGCAGGTAAGTCGACGCCAGATAGCATTCATAGTCAGTGCCATTTGTTCATGAATCACAGCCACAGCCACCCACTGTCACAGCCACCGCCACCACCACCACCAYAACCACCGCCACCGTCCAGTTCTATTTCTCTCACCAACTATTTTGATCGATTCACCATTCCAATTGGAATTCGTGCATACGCAAAACTAACCTACACACGTATCGCAACTGTCGTGTATATCGTCTTTAATTCATTCGCCTCATTGCCTCACGAGCTTTTAATGGAGTTTATCCCAACACTCAAGCAACCAGTACAGTACAGTACAGTTACAACAAAACATATACATACGTATACGTAACAATGCCTACGGTTATCCAGATATACACACAAGCACTCTTATACCCACGAATACGCACAGCCGCACACTCTTATACTCACATGTACAAGCACTCTTATACTCACACTTATACCCGCTCGATGCGCACTCTCTTCTATTTTTTGAGTTGCATCGAGTGCTGCTTCCTCTTTAATTCTAGTTCCTCGTTCATTTTGTTTGATTTGAATTTGCTGAACGGTTATAGCTCGATATTGAATTGCTTTTAGTGCACTTTATAATACACCTTTCTTAGCATTTATTATTATCGTCATTCGATTGATAATACCCTGTATGGAGCACGCACTGAATCCGTTGCTTTAAGTTGCTGTTAAAGCTCTCGTTAGTTAGCAATCAGATGTGCCTGAAAGGTGACAATAATCGAGCTTCAAAATATATGATTTGCTAGCAAGGTAAGGTCTGACAGAAGCAAATGTTAGATCAGGGTATATTAATATATTATCGCCGACAGATTTGTATGCTATTCTGATAATAGAACGATCTATGTTGTGTTGCTGTAAACCAAAGCTAATTAGTGAATCCAAATTTGCTTGACAGCCGCCTTTAAAACTATCCCAAAATTAGTTGCTTGCTTGAAACTATATTTTATACAAGAAAACAGACTTAAGACATGTGAAAACAGAAACACGCCACTCATAACTATCCTCAACCTATAACAAAATCCACCAAACTACAGAGTAACAATTACCTTATATACAAAAATGGACTGTAACGGAGAAAACTATAATACTAATACACACCATCCAGCTTAGCTGGGTAGACCATTTCCTATACTAACCATTTTCATGCATCTTTTGCCAATACACCACGTATCAAACTCACCACACATGCTGACACCATAATGGAGAAAACTACTACACGCAACATACTTATAATACTCCCTCCAATACACCACACTTTAAAACAGCTCATATAAAACTCACCAAATACGCCGACATAAGACATGTTAGAGCTTTTTGCTTACCAATAATCGAACATAACTCGCCACACTTTACATGTACAACACACCACAGTTCATTAAGCTATCCACTTACATACGGATCCTGCCAATACACCACACATAAAGCTCACCAATGACGCCATCATGCTCTTTTTATCACACTACCATTTCATGCTTTACAACATTTGGCCATAGCTCACCAAAGCTTACATGGACAACACACCACAGTTGACTACACCTCACCTCGCATCTCGCATACGCTGTTGAAAAAGAGTTGAACAAACTTTGATTTGGCATTTGTAAAATTTTGATTTGGAACTTGATTTGATTAAGCTTATAATCCAATAAGAAAAACAAACAACAAAATTACAATCAATCCAGCAAAATTCGTGTTGTATGTTATGTAATGAACCCCGGCTCTCCTAAATAGTAGTTTTTGTATGTGTCTTTATGTGTCTTGCACTAGGATCGCGAAGAGCGAGCTGTTAAGTCCACACCACCACAGAAATCTCCACCTCACTCACATGTAACGTGTACGTTATCGCCGCAGGAATCGATACAGGAAGAGCCCGAACGCGAGTTCAACGAAGGCTTTCCGCTGATCCAGCGATTGCAGCAGTTGAAAATTAAAAATGAGCCACAATCGGGTGCTGGCAGCGAGACCCAACTCGTCATGGTAAACCACGAAAACACCTCTCTCTCTCTCCTCTCTTTCTTTTTCTCTTTTTATCTCTGAATATCAAGCACCACACACACACAGCTTCCACTTGTCATCCACTCGATATTAATTGCACTTTCTATCCGTCCCGCCCTTAGGTCAACACGCCGCCCAACATCAGCAGCAAGGTGGACTTTGCGACGGCAACGGGTGTGGGCGGTGTTGGTGGGGCAGCGAGTGGTGCTGCGGGTGCTAGCCAAAGTCTGACCGTTGCCCAAATCAAGCCCATCATGAAAGTCTCCTTCAAGCAGAAGATACAACAGTTGCAGGGCGTGGTGCCGGCCATACCAAGTGGTGCCGGCCATAGCAGCACCACAAGCGCGTCCGGGACCACCAGCACCACCGGTGCCATAGCCAAAAAGGAGCCACCCAAATCGCTGGCCGTGGTGGCCAAGCATAGCGGCCCAGCGCTGCCAACGTTGCCAGCGATGCCCACGTTGCCAGCGCTGCCAATGGAGCCAACTATTGTGGGTGGTGCAGTTGGGCAGAGCTTGGCCGCCACCGCCAGCCTGTCGAAGAAGCCGCTGAGGCCGTTCACACCACAGCAATCGGACACGGACACTGATGGCACGCCAATCAAGCCCTGGTCCAAGCTGAAGCTGGCCACGCTCATGTCGTCGAGCTACACGAGCTTAAACAACTGCTCACCGGACGATCTGGCAACGCCGCTGAAGAACTACTCGCTGAGCAATATACCACAGCAAATGGAGAGCACCACAAATGCTCGACCACGCCACCACAGTGCCCGCAGCTCCCGCCACAGCCATGGCCATGGMCATGGTCATGGACACGGGCATGGGCATGGGCGTGGCCATGGCTCCACCTCAAGCACCTGCTCCTCGAGCACGCGCAGCACGCTGACCACGGCGCGCGACTGCCTGCGCCTGCAGAAGCCGGAACAGAAGCTGCCCGAGGGCGAGGCCACGACGGGCGGCCGTAAACTATATCAGAGCGTGTTCGACCTGTCGCCGGAATATTGTGGACTGCCGTTCGTGAAGCGGCTGAAGATATTGAATGAGCGCCAGAAGCTGGCCGAGCTGGAGAAGGCGCTGCAGACGCGCAGCTTCAGCCTGGACTGCTCGAAATCGAGCAGCGGCAACAACAACGAGGCGCCCATTACGGAGTCACTGTACCGCTGCTATAGCGACACCTCCGGCATCTACTCTCAGTTTCTGAGCACCTACGAGTCGGCCACCACCACCAGCAGCTCCACGTCCACATCCATTTCGACCAACACATCCACATCGGACGGCAACTCGAAGCAGCAACTGAAACAGCTGGACTACATGCCCCTCAGCCCCGAGTCGAACGAGACGGTGGAGCGGCGCAAGCTGAAGAGTATACTGAAGAAGATGCAGCAGGGTGCTGCTGCTGACGATGGTAGTGGCAGTGGTGGTGGTGGTGGTGTCGGTGGTACTGCCGATGGTGATGCCCAAGACGAGGCGAATGCCAAGACCAAGACCAAGGCCAAGGCCAAGGCCAAAACCAGTGCACTGTCGAGGGGGCTGTTAATGGAGCCGACCTTGGAAGGGTACGTGGCCAGGCACAGTAAGCTCTTGAAGAGTGTAACCTTCCATTCAACTCTTTCTAGCCCGCCCTCCAGTGCCACAGAGCAGGGGCACTTCGCGGCAATCGGCGGTGGTGGTGCTGCTGTTGCTGCGGCTGCTGTTTGCCTCAACAACAACAACAACAACAACAACAGCAGCAGCAAAAGCAACAGCACGCTATACGGTTCCGGTTCGAGTACGGGTATAAGTACGGTTACGGGTACGGGCTCGGTTACTGTCATCGGTTCGGGCAACGGCAATGACAGTGTGGCAACGTCACGGACAATGCTGCCAGATCAGGCCGTCTGGTCGCCGACGTTGGCATTGGTAACGCCAACGAATTCGCCGCAAGAGTATTTCGCCGCATTTGAGCCGCAGCTGATGGGCGGCAACGGCGTCATCGCTGGCGTTGGCAACGGCTCAACGTCAATCGCATCCGCTTCCGCTTCCGCTTCGGCAACCGCAACCGCAACCGCAACCGCATCGGCATCCGCATCCGCATCCGCATCGTATGTGGTCGAATGCTCGTCGAATACCGAATTTCATGCACAATCCACAACATCCACAGATTTGAATTTGAATTTGCAGCTCCGGCAGAACACGACCAATGCGAGCGGCCAGGCGGGTCAGTTGCCCAAACTGGAAGGTAATTACGAGAACTGCTATCGCTAGGTGACTCTCTTGCAGATCTGTCCTATACTTGAAAATGTATCCATATATCTATATATTTATATTTATATCAAATACAATTACTCCAAGTCTAACGCTTACCACGCCCTCAAGCTCAACAACACTTAGTAAATCTATTTATCGATTGTGCTGCCTCTGGCCAACATTAGGGGTATTCCATTCAAGTGAATTCAAGTTGATTTTAGTCTTACTCTATTTGAGAATTGTTGTTTGTTTGTTGGTTTATTTTCTTTCTTATCTAAAAAAAAGGAATACCCCTAATGCGACTCAGACTGAAGCGCTCTGCATGCCCTTTGCAGCGCCTGATGGCACACTACACAAAATTCGAATGCTTCGCTCTGGCTTTCCCGCTATCTCTCTTTGTCTCTCTCGCTAGTCCTCTATCTCTCTCTGTCTCTGTCTCTGTCTCTGTCTTTCTCTCTCTATCTTTAAATTTATGCATGGTAATGCCATCTATTAATTGCTATTTGATATGATTTAGGATATTGCTGATATATTGCTTAACATTGCGAATGCTTTTCTGCTAGGCTAAGAGTTGATAGCACCTTTTTAATTTACCTTAACTTAAAAAAAAAAAAAAATTTTAATTACAGACAAAGTCAATTTCTTAATAGGTCTTTTAAGTATAGAATATGTATATTTGTACTGTACATAAGCTAAGGTATATACAGTCATATCGATTTGCGTATACGTAAGAGCTTTTTGAGTACTGTTGAAATGTAAATATTTATTTCACATATTA